GTCCGCTTGGACTGATGTCGCCAGAGGTGGGACAGAAGAGGAGGTGGGTAAAGGTGAAGGAGGTTTGCAGGAGGGTAAGACTGAAGAATCGCAATCAGGGTCCAGATTAGCAGATTTCAATTGATCCAGGGAAACGCTATCTCTTTTACCATTGCGATCAATAATGAAGAATTTGAATTCACGATGAACCACTATGGAGGATCCATCGTAGGGTGGATGATGAGGTTTGCGGATACCATCGAATCGAACCCAAACATGCGTGCAGTAGGTTAGATCCTTATGAACAGAAACGCGACGTGACTGCGGACGCGGTTGAAAGGGTGTCAGTTTTCCCATATGGAACAGGAAGCGTGAGACATAGTTGTCTATGTCTGTAAACTTCTCTTGCGTGGTAGAAGAAATGTAGTCCCCAGGCAGATGCAAAGTGGTTCCGAAAACTAATTCGGCTGCAGTGCACTTGAAATCCTTTTTGAGAGAATTGCGAATGTCAAAAAGAATTATGGGTAGGTTTTCATCCCACGGTAGTGGGCAGCAAATGGATAGAGCCACCTTGACCTGACGGTGAAATCTCCCAAACAAACAGTTTGCCGCAGGGTGAAAGGCGGTGTTGCGTAAATGTCGAGAACCGAGACACGCGGTCAAAGTATTGAAAAATGAAGTTTCAAACTGGGATCCGCGGTCAGTGGTAATGGTTGCTGGGCAAACGCACCGTTCAAAAAAGGCTTTCTTAATGGTGGCAACGTCAACGTAAGGAATCGGAATTGCATCCGGTCAACGGTTAAAACGGTCGATGCAAGTGAGAAGATAAATAAAACCGTTTGAGGGATTAAGGGGTCCTACGATATCCAGATAAACGTGGCTAAACCTAGCATCAGGTGATGCAAAACTTCCAATTGTGGTATAGGTTTGGTGATGCACCTTGGCCTTTGGACAGGCCTCGCAGGTGCGAGCCCAACAGCGGACGTCTTTATTCATAGACGGCCAATCGTACTGTTGACTGATTAATTTTAGATTAGCACGGACTCCAGGGTGTTACAACCCGTGTAGGGCGTCAAACACCAGTCTTTGCATAGTTTCATGGATCAGAGGTACCTGTTGCGAGACGTCACAAAGAATGGAGCCGTCCGAAGTGGGCAAGGGAAGCCTGCGAAGTTCTTGAGAGGATAAGGGGTCCAGAGGTAGGGCCGCTGGTTGAAGAGCCGCCATGCGTTCTAGGTCAATAACCGGTAACTCCTAAACTAAGTTAAGCCTTGATAAGGCATCAGCCACGACATTTGTAGCGCCAGAAATATGTCTTATATTAGTTGTGAATTGAGAGATATAGTATAACTGGCGTATTTATCGGGGTGAATACATATCATTGTTAGACTTGAAAGCAGAAGTAAGTGGTTTGTGACGGTCAAAATAGTAAATTCACATCCTTCAAGGGCGTGTCGGAAGTGACGCACAGCAATATATATAGCCAACAGCTCATGGCCGAAAGTGCTATAGCGCTATGCGGCTTCCGAAAATCAACAAGAAAGGAAGCCTAAAGGTTGCCACTCATTATCAACGAGTTGTTGAAGGATAGGACCTGCGGCAACGTTAGAAGTATCAACGGTTAGGCTGGGGTGCGTACGGAGAGTGGTGAGCTCGAAGGGCGACAGGTGGAAGTGCCTCCTTAAGGGCAATGAAGGCCTGGAGGGCAGCGTCGTTGGAGTTTACCGATTAAGGGTTTCCGCGGAGAATATTGAACATGAGCTGACAGATCTGAGCACAACGCGGGATAAAATGACGGTAAAAATTGACTAATCCCAAGTCTTGAGCCGTCGTAGGGACGGCGAAACGATGTATGTCCTCAACTTTGGATTCTAAAAAACGAATACCACTCTTGTCTATAGTATGTCAGATAAGTAAGGGAGGTGCGGCCGAACTTGCACTTATCTGGGTTGATAGTGATGCCGTGACGACGGAACCTATCAAAGACAAGACGTAAATGAGTAAGATGTTCAGCTTCATTGGTGCTGGCAATGACAATATCATCGAGGTAGGCTAACACAAAGTCTAGACCTCGTAAAACATTATTAATGAAGAGCTGGAAGGTTTGAGAAGCATTTTGCAAGCTAAAGGGCATGCGAAGAAACTCATAGACCAAACGGCTCGATCACCGCATCTGTGGCATATCATCAAGGCCAACAGGTATCTGGTGGTAAGCACGCACCAGTTCAAGTTCAGAGAAGATCGTGTTGCCCTGTAGGCAAGCTGTGAAGTCGTGGATGTGCGGGATGGGGTAGCGGTCTAGGGTCGTAACCCTGTTAAGAGCGCTATAATCACCACACGGATGTCAATCTGCCGAGCCTTTTTGGGGACCATGTAAAGGGGCGAAGCCCAGCTGCTGTCGGATGGCCGAATGGTTCCGACTTTGAGGAGCCGGTCAAATTCTGCCTTCGCCACACGGAGTTTATCCGACGCAAGACGACAAGCACGTGAAAAGACCGGGGGCCCTGACGTGCGAATAAAGTGGGTGACCGGCCTCGTGATAGAGGGAAGAATATCTGAAGAATGGGTGATTGTGGGATAGACGGACAGCAACTCACCATAAATACCAGAAGGAAACTTGCGAAAAATGGGGCTTATGGAGTTTAAGGTTTTGGTTGACCATGGACAGTGAAATCACGTTCCAGACCAGTCAAGAGACGGCGGTGAGTGTCAACGAATAGACCGAAATGCTGGAGGAAATCCATTCCAAGAATGGGGCATGGAACACCACCAACGATAAGGTCCCAAGTGGTTACTTGGGGCAGGCGGAAGTCTACCATGAGCCGTCTACTACCGTATATCCTAGTAAGGGATCCATTAGCGGCGGATAAAACAAGGGAAGGTTGGGTACAGGGATTCTGTGGTAGTTGGTGGAACAATACTAATTTCGGCCCCGTATCCACTAGAAAATAAGCCCCGATAAGCCTATCTTTTACATGAAAGAGTCGGCTATCGGGTTTAGAGCCAACGGGTTGTGCTGCTCCTACTCGTTGGCTGTTCCTTTGTCCTGCTTAAGGGACACCAATCACTGACACGGGGCAGTGCACTGGCCTGCATGAGCACCCCATTTTTGGTGGTACAGACATAAAGGTCTTCTGAGTGAGTCTGAGGGCTAGCGCCTAGAGTTGTCACGTGACCGCCTTCGGGACCGGTGGGATCGTTGATGAGGCTGTGAATTGACCTGTTCAGCTCTATCTAGGTGAGCCAAAATAGCGGCCAGTTGAGTGGCAATGGCGCTGTTTTGACTAGGGTAGAACAGTTAAGGGATGTTATTTGAAAATAACAAGCCATTGCGTTGTCAGCTACTTCGGCCGCAACGCTGAGGGAACAACTAACGCATGGTGCTAGGACCATGCGTACAGCCTTTGGCAGCTCCTGAACCAAAGTTCACGAAGCAGATTTTCGTTGACTTTAAAAGGAGCGAGCTCTTGCTGCATTTTGCGCAAGAGTTGAGAAGAATTAAGATAGCCCAGGTTCATTCCCTGTGCTATGTTCCTGATTTTCTCTAGGGTGGATAAGCCGGTACGCGTTAATACAGCGCTCCGGAGATCCTCGTACGGGCGCTCTTCTGGGACGGGGTTAGTGACGTCAAGCACGAGTTCTGCAACATCTGAGGGCAAAGCTTGCAATACCTGATGAATTTTAGAATTGGATGGATTAATTCCTCGGGTTGAGAAATGGCTTTCGACAACGAAAAACCACACCGAGGGATATTTTTTGGAAAAAGGGGAACAAGTGAAATTAGGACTACCGGGTGCTGTTTTCAATATACCTGACTAAACACAGTCAAAAATAGAACAGTAACAGCAATTTCGTAAAAATACCCAAATCGAGCAAAACGGAAAAATATTTTCTAAAATAAATCAATGATGGAGTATTGATGGTGATCTGCTATGGAGATCACATGAAGATTACATGATTGTATTATGAAGAACATTGGGGGAAGACACAGAACTGGAGTTGAAAATATCCGCTCGGGAGATGATGCGCGGAAACGAATTTGAAGAACAGAAGGAGGGTAATAAACGTGGAAGCTTTATAATTTCAGAAGAAGAGCTGCGGTCGAACCAAGGAAGTGTAACGGAATACAGTAGAACGACAAATGGATTATAAATAACCTGTTTCCATGACTGAAACAGATGGACTGACTTCTTAAACAAGGAGTAAAGAGCTTCAGAACTTCACCGTTAACGGATTGACTGGTTTTTATTTATATTACTGAGGCGTTGGTTGCTTTGATGTGGAACTGACTACAGGCTAGACACCCCACCTTGTAGGTGAGGCAGGGGTGTGATCTTGAACCTGGTTCGGAATGCGGACGCATGTAGTCTTAAAGGTGGATACAACCGCGCTCAACAGCCATTGCCGAGAAAAGAAACGGGAGTAGTTATTGAAAACGAAAATTCGTAACAACGTACCAATAAATAGAAAGATGGAACGGGTTCACCAGTTTAGAGGTAGGGGATGCAATATCACGACCTGCGATAGTGATCCGGTCTCTAACTCTCCCGAGTTTCTCGATCCGCCTGAGGTTCCTTGTACAGTTATGAAAGTCGGAATCATTTACGGACAAACATATCTCCGGGTGGTCGTTTTGATCTGCCTTCACACGCACTGTTGAGGTTAAACAGTAGATCCATTCTTCCTGACGAGCGTATCGCATCATTTGTACATGCGTATCCTTTCCCATGGCCTTCATGGAACCGACACACAGTTCAAAAGAAAGTGTTGGTGGATCTGTAAAACTGCCGACAACGCTAGACTTGCAGCTTAGTCCCATAAAATCACCGTTCCGCATATCATTTGAACTTAATACCCAACGGACTGTGATCGAAAAGTTAATTGAAGCGTTCAAACAGTCACCACAATCCCTTGGAGTATTTTTCAGCTCAGATGCTGCGGAACAGCTTGGCAATAACTTTTTTCAATGACCATTTGAGACCAAAGATTCCGTATGTCTCACCCCGACCGTCCTTTCAGACTCTCCCCTCTCGGGAACCAAAGAGAACTGTTTACCAGATTTGGATACCCCAACACTTTACAATTTCATAAGCCGTCAAGCTGCGGTTCAGCAACAACAGCAGCAACAACAACAGGCGAGCGTATCCACTTCGACTATTCTTTGTTTACCCACACACATGTCACAGTCGTTGACAGAAGCGCTGAGTAAACTGGGAAATGGAGTTGGTGATCAGTCTATTACTATTGATACCTCATTGGGATGTGATCTGAATTCAGTTCAAAGTGCCATTCAAAACACATTATCTATCACATTCCCTGGCACATCGAAAGATTTGACCAACTTGCAGTTATGTAGTGGACCGCATCAATTCGATCTAACCAACACTTCTGTATCCGTAACTAATCCAACTAACGCTCCTATTTTATTTCAACCTCCCGCATTGAAGCTAGAACAGATGGCCGCTGAACTGAACACTGCGCTCACCACTGACCCAAACCAATCCCTCACCGATCCTTTGTTCTGGCCGTTGCCTATCCAAACCTCTATTGCGAATGATCATTCGGCTTCCCAGCAGCTTGATGCGCGCAACACAGTGGGTCAAATGAATTCTCCGCTAGACGATCGTGATGCAACGAAACCCGGCTGGCAACACGTTGGCTTTTCGTTCCTCCCTATCTCCAGTTTCCTTCATTTTCTCTATTTCCCAACTGCATGCTCCGGTTTCTGGTTCATGAGACACGCTAC